AATAGGCCTTGGGTTACTGCTGGTAATCCTGTCTTCCTCTCGTGGGATTAGAGGAGGTCAGAACATGTGGCCTCCTTGCCGTTTTTGCAAGCCCATAAGCTTTTCACATACCTGTTGCCAACATTCAATCTGCTTGCCCAAACTGGTGACCCAGGGAGGCTCCCCAGACTGACTTAGGCTGCTTCTCTCATCTGAATCCTTTGCACAACCCAGGTCTTGACTCTGGCTCTTCTCCTGGTTATGCCCCAATTCTGTCCTCTGGCTGAGGTAAACTATTTCTAATTCCATCTCTTCCCAATCCAGACTCCTAATACTCCTGAATAGGTCTTCCTTATCTTGTGGTCCTGACTTCCTTAAACTTCTCACTTGGATCCCAGAGCTAGTAGTCAGTGTGGCTGCTGTGCCACCAAATGTGTGTGTCTTTTCAGGCCTCCTGTGGTCCAAGCAGCCACTGCACCATGAGCTTGTCCTTTTAAATGCCGGAAATACTAGCAGTTATTGGTCACTTTTCATTAAAGCATTTATTAGGCACCTACTATGAACAGCTTTTGGAATTGACAGCTAAATATTCTCATTTCCTATAGTGTTTTACATGTAAGCTAATTAATGCTATTCTCTATCCTCACTGCTATTCTCTTAGGAAAAAATACTCCTGTAGACATGGCTATGAACAGAAGTTAATCAGGTTCTTCTAGTAAATGGTCTGCTTTTCCCAAGACAGACAAAAACATTTTATTTTTGGTATATAAAACCCTGATGAGCTTGATCCTGCCCATGGCTTTGAAGCAGGGCTGCATTCCTGAGCTTTGATTGGTCACCTTTAGGTGTCTGTTTTGAGAGACTAATGAGGTGAACAACCCAGTTTTAGACACCATCTCTGCTGTCCTTCTCCATGTCTTTGGGTCATCTGCAGGCAAAGCTGGTGAGTAGCTGCTTGGGATGACTCTAGTTCTGGTGCTCATTTAGCCCACCTAGAATTATTTCTTTCCACTAACTTCCTTGGCAAGCTGGAGCTCATGCCAGGCAGAATATTATAAGTAAAAGGATTCCTAAACACAAGTAGTGACTGGGATCTTAAAAGCTTGTAAGCAGCCATCTAGATGCAAGGATGGGTCTCTCTTTGTCTACAGCAAAGAAGAATGAAGAAAACCAAAGAAGCATGGAAACAATTAGTCCAAGGGACTGGTACACCATGAGATCCTCACCCTATATGATTATGAGACTAGAAGAACTAGATGTATCTGGCTATCACTGTTAACCACTTGGAGAGGGATCTATGTAGGAGATCCCGGGTAAAGTAGTAGAAAACTGTGAATCTTAAAAAAAAAAAAAAAAAAAAAAGGTATCAGTTTTGCTGGTCTCATAGCACCTGGTGGAACCCCTCAGACTATGGCCACTAGCTGCCCTTCAGGTCTGGAATTGAACCCACTCCTGGGGCTTCAAGCCAAACAAAAGGCAGGCATATGAGCTGAACATTTACATTAGGTAAATATACTCCTAGGAGAGATCAATCATGGGAGATTAGAAGGATTGTGTACCACAGGGAGACAGCTTGGGGGCAAGAGTGCATGGGAGGGAAGGACACAGGGAAGAGGTAACTATGGGGAGGAAGTGGGAAGAGGATTGTTGCATTGTGTGAAACTGCAGTCAATGTCATGAGACAAAGTGTATGTAAACTGCTATGTGGAAAATGAAATTGCTCTGAAAACTTTCACAGAAATCACAATAAAAATTAAAAAAAAAAAAAAAAAAAGAGTCCTAAACAGACCAAGATTCCCAAGGAGCTGTTCCATGAGGAAACTGGCTGTGTTAGGAAACATCTGTGCCATCACGACTGCATCATTACCTGCATCAGGGAGAAGAAATGGTTCATCGCTATTCCAATGGTGTCCTGCAGCCAGCTCTCATTAATGATATCAAGACGCTCCTGCTCCGCCTCTTCCTTCCTGGCATCACAAATATCCCATAGGCGGTCTCTTAAATCCTGAAGAGAAAAGAAACATTATGGGGATGCTTAAAAGCCACAGCTCAAATTACCTCTGGATAAGAAAACTGAAATCCTTACCTGTCTTTAAAAAGTCCCTATAGAAAATTTAGACCTAATGCACTCATATATGTCTTTTATTCATTCTTTAAACAAGTATTTATTTTGCTTCTACTCTGTGTCAGGCCCTCACTTTCCAAGACTACTTCAAATCATATGTCTATGTCTACCTGCAGATATCATGCACTTACCCTTTCCTATGAGCATGTCTGCATTCTGAGGTTTGTACTTATGTTGACTTGTTTAATGCCTTATAATAACTTTATAAGGTAGGCATTTGTTTAGATTGAATTGTGTCCCCCAGAAAGATATGTTGAAGCCCTAGCTCTTGCAACAGTGACTATGACCTTATTTGGAAATAAAGTTTTTCATTTTTTGTCAGTAAGGAACTCACGTAGCACAGTGGGTAAACACTTGACTGCTAACCAAAGGGTCAGTAATTTATACCCACTGGCCACATCATGGGCAAAAGATGTGACAATCTGCTTATAAAGATTTATAGCTTTGGAAATCCTGTGAGGCAGTTCTACCCTGTCCTATACTGTCGGTATGTGTTGGGATTGACTCGATGGAATAAGTTTGGTTTTTTTGTTGTTGATGTTATCAGTTAAGTTAAAAGAGGTCTTACTCAAGTAGGGTGGGTTCTAATCCAGGTGTCTTCTGAGTAGTGTCTAATAAAAGGGGAGAACAGACATGGAAACAGACACACACAGAGGGGAAAGATTATATGTAGGGATTCATCTACAAGTCAAGGAATTCCAAGGAATACCCAGGGCTGACAGAAGCTGAAAGACATAAGGAGGGATCTTCCCCATGAGCCACCGGAGAGCAAGCAGAATCCTGTCAAAGCCTTGAATTCAGACTTCTAACCTCCAGAACTATGAGGCAATACATTTCTCTTCCTAAAAGCCACTAATTTTATGGTATCTTATTATAGCATTCCCAAGAAACTAAGACAGTACTAGGATCATCCTCATTTTTGTAGATGAAAAAAGTCACAGAAAGTTTATTTTCCCAAGGTCACACAAGTAAGTGATGAAGTCAGGATATGAGCTTAGTCTTGAGTAATATACATCACCACGTTAAGCCTCAATTATTTCATCTGTAAAAGGAAGATAATATTATTTTCCTTTTTTTTTTTGTAATATAGATTTGAAACTATTATTTCAATTGTATTCATATCAATAACATAATCACTGTTAATAAAACATCTCATTAATGAAATAAATACAGTCCCAAACTTGATGATTTTCACAATAATAAAACAAACCAACAAAAAAATGTACCATGGACTGCTAAAAGAACTAACAGATCTGTCCTGGAGGAAGTGCAGCCAGAATGCTCCTTGGAAGCAA